CTTCTTCCTCATCCTTGAAGACGTCGTTCGGAAGGTCTAGGTGAGGGCCCGAAGAAATTATTCTCGAAGGCATTGCTCCCGAGGATGTACCCCCGAGGGTAGATTAGACTTTTAGCTATTACTTTTGCTTCTTTGTTTCTGTATAAGGACCCTTCGTGGGCTTTTGTAGTAATGTGTAAGGTCCCTTAATGGGCTTTTTGTAATCATCGTCTATTAATGCAAAAAAGTTTCTTCAATTTGTTTCTGATTTATGCTGGGTTTTCCTTTATTTGTATTTGTGAAGAATCTGAGTGCATGACTCTACCGATCGGTCCAAATACCGGGCCCGGGTGTGGGTATTTCCCCGGTTGCTGATTGGTTAATACGATATCTCATGGAGCCCTTTGTCGTTCCTCGGGCTGAGCCTAGGTTGCATTGATACGAGCTTAGGCCGCAAGGACCCCCGAGTGAGAATAGGGCTTCGAATTTATAGAACGAAACTTAGCCTTTTAGACCCTGTCGATAGTCCTCGAGGCGGAACTTGCTCGGACGCCAGAGAACAAAGATAGCCTTTAGGCTTTTGAAAGTAGTCCCCGAGTGAGAATTCGCTCAAGCTCGGGCGACCTGAAAACTTGTTTTGAACTTAGAGCGAAGATAGACTTAAGGCGTTATAGATAGATCCCGAACGAGGGTTCGCCTGGATTCAGATATCCCCTGGATTAGAGTAACCGAGAGGACGTTTAGCTCGACCCCAAGGCGAGAAATAGCCCTTGGGTTTTATTAGTAGTTTTCGAGCGAAAATTGGCTCGGGCTCAGGTAGCTCGAGGGCCGGAGGATCGGTTAAATGACCCGTACTTGCAATAGCAGAAATCCTCGAGGTAGGGTAACACCTCGAGGTCAAGCCCATATGAGTAGGTTCCTAGATATTATCTCTTTTTTGACAAAGGTCCTCGATATCGGGAACCATCTCGAGGTTTGTAACGATATTAACGGCTCCTTAAAGCCTATCTTCTTTTTTGACAAAGGTCCTCGAGATCGAGTACCATCTGGAGGCTTGTAATGATATCAATGGCTCCTTGGAGCCTATCTTCTTTTTGACAAAGGCCCTCGAGATACGGTACCATCTCGAGGCTTGTTGATGCGGGGGTCTTTGATCCCCGAAATGTCGTACGGCAACGTTAATTGTATGACATGGCCACGAAACGATCGAGGCAATCCTGCTGGTATATCTTCCCAAGGCGATAATGGCTCAGTCAGTACTTTTAATTTGGCCTTTAAGGTGGGCGGGCAGTCGCCGCTTGCTCTATATATATAGGTTTGTCTTCCCTCCTTTGAAGATTAAGCTATTTTGGGTAGCTATCCTCCTTCATAGAGTTCTTCTTCTCTGCGTTAGGTCTTTCACCATTTTAGCTTTGAAGCCCTCGCTCAAATTCCCGCTCCAATTCTCTGATTTTACCATAGTTATGGCTGCTATGCCAGGATCCGTTCGGCAAGGAGGAGGAAGTTCCGCCTCTGGTTCCCGCTTGGTTGATGGTGCATCGCCGGTGTCAGGCGAGCCGAACTCGGGACATTTTGTTTTGAGGAGGGACTTTTTGTCGGAAAAACCTCCCAATGTTCAGGGTCATTGGGAGTATGTCTCGAAGTTTATTTCCTTAATATGAGAGGGGCACCTTGAGTCAGTGAGGAAATATTGTGGATAGGGGGAAAGGTGGTACTGCAGGTACCTTCCCCTGAAGAGAGCATCATGGATCATGCCGAGGGGTTTTTGAACGTATACACGTACCCCTTTACGCTGGGCACCCTTGATAGGGTTATGCTCGACTTCTGTCGGAAGTATCGGGCTACCTTGGCACAGGTTCATCCGTCGTTTTGGAGGATAGTATTGATGATGAGATTTTTTGCAGAGGAAGCAGGGCTTGAGTTTACCCTCAGTCGTCTCATTAGGTTGTACCAGCCTTTTCACCATCGGGGCATGTTAATGCCGGTCCACCAGGCCCTTTGTTGTCGATGATGAAGAAGATGGAGATCGGGGTTGGATGAGCCGATTCATGCGAGTACGGACTGTCGACGTTATCCCCACATAGTTTCTGCCATTTCCCAAGGAATGGAATTTTACACGTAAGTGGTACACTTTGTGCCTTCGTTATTTTGCTTATGGCGGAGGCAGGCTCTGTAAATGCGCCTTTCTTTCTTTTTCTACAGCAATTCCATGGATGCCATGCGAGGTTCCTGACCTGAAGGATAGGGCGTGGAAGTTGGCAACCCACTCTACTTATGATGATCGTAAGTGGCGAGACTTGTCCAAGGGTAGATGGGAGGCAAAACACTACGGTATGTGCTATGTGTTTTGCTCCCTTTTTGAAAGGCACTCTCTTTTTATACGTGCTAACTCTGTCATCGTAAGCATTAGGGAGTTCTTTGAGGTGAGATCGTGCCCTCTCGTAATGGGGGAAGGATCGGCAGCTTATGGGTCGAGGAACAATAATAATAAGCGAAAAGGGCCTTCGCGAGGCGACGATGCTTATAGTAGGATGAGTCCAACCCGGAGGCTCAGAGAGGATGCATCAGCCGACCCTGCATCGCCCGAGATCTCTGGCCTTGGAAAAACAATCCCTCCTCCGCTGCAATCTTCTTTTCCCGTCGGAGGTACCTCGAGGAACGAGGGTTCCCTGCCGCCGACTTCTTCTCCCGTCGGAGGTACTTCGAGGGATGCTCGAGGCCGGGGGCCACATATATCGAGCGACCGTGTCCCAACCGGGAGTGGTTTTACTGGGGTTGATGGAACTAGGCTAGTAGACGTGCGCTCGACCTTTGAGGAAGCTCAGCGGCTCTACTCTGTGGTGAGTTTTGGCCGATTGCATCGGTTCTTTAGCTTTTGCAGTTTTTTCTCTCTTATCGGGTTTCTTCTTTGTAGGCTTTTAACAAACTCAGTCTGAGCTACTTCGTCGTGAGGCCAGGCTGCGAAAAGCCGTGGATGGGGAGAAATCCTTCAGGCTTCTTTGTGATGAGAGAGAAGATGAGTTGGCATACTTGCGGTATGAGGCGAGTCGAAGTCTGGACTACGAACGTTATCTCGAGGAGCAGGTAATTTTTGTTCCAAGGGAGTGCGTGTTCTTCCTCTATCTTCTGAGGCTAATGTTCCGTTTTCTTCAGTTGCAGAGAAAGACGGAGGACCTGGAACGCCTTCGGAGCAAAGTTGTATATAATATACATATCATAGCTAATAAAATTGAAGTTAAGGACATGTAGTCCTAAAGTCCTAAAGTTAAGGACATGTAGTCTTGAAGTCCTGAAGTTAAGTTCAAAAGTTAAGGACATGTAGTCCTGAAGTCCTGAACTTAGAGTTCCAAGTTCAAAAGTTAAGGACATGTAGTCCTGAAGTCCTGAAATTAAGTTCAAAAGTTAAGGACATGTAGTCCTGAAGTCCTGAACTTAGAGTTCCAAGTTCAAAAGTTAAGGACATGTAGTCCTGAAGTCTTGAAGTTAAGTTCAAAAGTTAAGGACATGTAGTCCTGAAGTTAAGTTCAAGAGTTAAGAACATGAGCAGAAGGGTATTTTCGTCCGGGCAGTTAAAGTTTATAAAAGCGGTGGCTAAAGACTAAAGACATTTTAAACAGTGGCTTAAAAGTAAATACATGTGTTATTAGTGGCTAACCGTACACTCCCCTTAAAATTTCTAAGAATTGAACTGATGCTGAATGGGCTAAAACAACGACTGAAAACAACTATTCAATCGAGGAAAATCTTACAGAAATATACCAAAAAAGATACTATTTACCAACAACTAGCCATTTTAATCATGCTACTAAAAATAGCCCAAAAATACCAATGATATACAACATTCAAAAAATATATGTAAAAAAAGATTATTTTTTCAATGGTATTGTTGCAATTCATTGAAAACACATAAATGAGACAATATACAAAGTTTGAGGAAGTTTGAAGGTGATTTAGAATAGTATGGAGTCAAAATTCATTATCAATAGTACAATATTAAAAAACAATTAGGCAAATTAAGGATCTGTCTCAATGGGTATGGTGGCATTCGTTGAAAATATATAGATAAGGCAATACATAAGATTTGAGCACGATTGGAGGTGATTTGGACTGGTTTGGTATCAAAATTCGTAGTTAAAATCGAGTTTAAAAAATCTTCTGCGACACGTGTATCTAGCATGTATCACGCGTGTATCTCACACACAGGTATATATAGATATACATGTTATACACATATGATACATATGTGATGCACAAATGATACACAGTTGATACACATATCATCTTTTTCCATATTCGTCAACTACTTCGAATTTTCAATTCAAACCACATCAAAACTCCACCAAACCATCCCAAAATTGATATTCAAACCCCTTAAGATGTACTCAATCTATTCAACAACACCCACTCAAAAGAAAACAAACATTTTGATTTTTTTTGGCTACAAATAGCTAATTGACTAATATTGTTAGCATTTGGCTAATATTGGTAATATTTTATGAGTTAGACCAATTTTTGTCCAAAAATACTATTAGGACTACGAAGCTCCCTATATCACTTACGGGTCCAAATATACTTCTTTTCACTAACTACCATCTAACGTGAAAACAGACTGACAATTACTCACCTAACAAAACCAAAAAGGAAATAGGATAAGAAATTAAATTAACAAAAACAAAAAAAGAATTTCGGACAGTGGAAGTACTCCAAATTGAATTGTGGAGGGATAAAATTGGTTTAAATTAAACTGTAGAGGGACAATGATCCAACTGTGGAGAAAATATAATTAAGTTAGAAAAAAAATATCACATGGCATGCCGTATGGCATCAATGTTGAAAAATTGTTGTAGCTTCATTCTATGTTGGAAGGCCGTTAGTGGAGGGTATTTTTGTACCCTTAGATAACGACAAGGGTTCTTTTGTCCCGATAATATAATCAAGGGTAAAATTGAACTTTTAAATAGTAAATGGGCAAATTTGACCCTTTCACCGCAGTAATATATGTTGCACTCAGCAAGTACGTGTACATCAAACAAACAAATCAATTCAACAAAGAATAACTTTATTCAGTCTCCTATGGAGTCCATTTAAAAACAATACATATATGTTTATCAAATCCACTAATGTCTTTTCTCAATGATAAAAAACATCATAAAAGATAGTAATAAAAAATTCAGGAAACAGATGTACACAAGATACCAAACCGCTGATAAATTAGCATGTATACAACAATCAATCACCCAGATGTGCATATTTTACAGAATTTTATCTACAACAATAGCAAGCACCAGTGTCACGGACCTGAAATGACCAAGAAAATGACACGCTAGCTACGAATGATGACCCAGCAATGCACCTTGCAAATTCTTGACAGCACTGTCATAGTTAACAAAACCCATAAACCAAAACTCGTGATTGTCAACTGAGATAATCTGGATGTACTTTTCAGCTGGATTGATCTTACTACTTGACGGACTAATGGCTTTGAGTTGATTTATTGGGAGAACCACCTACAATAGAAAAAACTCTCGCTTAATTATCAAGCAGGTAACCAAATAGCAGGAGTCTGTGCAATCAACAACGCAAGCAAACAAAAAGTACGAAAGAGCTCCTTATAACAGAGGAGTAACAGGTCCGCATACCAATAGGTACAGTAAAGTTTAAGCAAAGCTAACAAAAGGTCTCGGCTTGACATCATAGAATCATGTGGTAGATAACTCATGTGCATGACCCCAGGATCTCTATTTGATGATCAGGAATTTGCAAAAGCAAAGAAATGAGAATCGGCATTGTGCAGCAACAAAGAAAACTATGAAGATTTTTTGCATTTAGATATGCATATGTCAAAAGCAGCATTGGAAAATTCAACCCAAATAGGCAGATAACAAAAGATCCTAGTGTTATTTGGCAGAATGCTGAGCTCCGTTTAATATTAAACAGATTACAGACACGTCCATCCACATTAAGAATAAATGAAGTAAAATTCTGAAGGAGAGAATAGAAAATTATCTCCAACAACTATTGCACATTATTACTCCATTTATTAAAAATCTGTCAAAGATTTCCTGTTATGATATGTAACCTTGTTTAAGTATCTCTTGAAATTCTATAAATCCTGATGACGAGAAAAGATTTCAAGATCTTAATAAATTTTGATCCAAAGGATTGCTTACTAAGATAGATTATGCACTTATACTTACTCTCTTCAATAGCAGACAAGACAAATTGTAAATGCAGTGAGATGTTCAGTTCCCTAAGGATATCAAGACAATCAAGAAGTGATCGGGAAGGACAGGAAACTGCGTGGGTTGGAAAAAAAGGAATGACTTTACAACGAATCAGGAACCTATGTTCCCATTCCCATTACTCAATCCTAATTCCAACGCGAGCAAAAAAGATTACCACTTGGTAAAAATATCATTTAACAATCAATTTCGATTATGCTATCTCTATTCCTGTTTTCGCACCATGGCTACACCAAAGTTAATATGAATTCCATTTGCTACATCTAATCCTCTTCCTTCGCTGTCGTCCTTTGGCGGAAAAAAAATTACCAAAACAAGGGTCGGACCACTCCCATCCTCATGATATTTCCACCATGCCTCCAGGGGTTAGCTCAAATATAAAAGGTTGAGGGACTTGTGTCTTAGGTCAAAGGTTAGGGCCCGGGCCAAGTGAACTAACTCTGGTATTTAATTGGAGAAGGGTAGAGGAGTGAGCCTATAATCCCTGAGTTTCAAAGATTGCATTGGCCCAAAGGGTCGGCTTCCGATAGATTTCTCGGTCACCCCCAAAAAAAAAAAAAAAACCATCATTATTAACTGCTCAATATCACGCCACACCATAGGCCTCTACACCTCTTTGCATCACAACCATATTCCTCTTCCACACAACTTCTAACCAACTAAAAACGGTTTGCCCCAAGAGCATGTCTCGACATTTAAAAACTAACAAAATAGAAACCATGGTGCACTTGAGATATGAGCATAAATATTAATCATTCACTTTAAATAAAGGTAGTTAATATATCAAAACAAAACTTGAAAAGAAAAATAGAAAAGGGATAAATATAAACTAAAAAATGAATGAATAATCTTTTCGAAAAAAAATATAAACAGAATTAAAAATATATATTAAAAGAAAAAGAAGACAACAGGACTAATTTCTTTTTTTTAAAAACTAAAGTGAAGACAAGACACTAATATGTTATACATCAAACTCGGCCCAAATAGATACAGCTAGACATTACTTCAGACCTTGAGGAGAGACCAGAACAATTACTCATAAACTTTTAGAATTTTAAAGTATATGGCAGATGAAGACATTGACCCACCACCAAGAAAACCACAATGTTCTCTCTCTTTTCCATCAATACCACAGACTCCCACCCTCTAACCAGCACTACCTCTCATAACTCAACTACCATAATTCTATCAGCCCAAGCCCACATAGATGAAAGGGCTAATATTTCCATCTCTGGACTTCCAAGACAGAGGAACTGTCAACAAGCTGATATTCTTAATTAATTATGGACCCAAGGTGTACTTATATCTCACATTCAGTTCCCCCAACCCACCCCCAAATTTTTAGTGCATTATAGAAATGCAAAAAAGTTCAACAGATCTGTTGAATTTTTTACAAGAGTCCGCTGGTTCAAGATTAAGAGGTGGCCACAGTATGTATCTACTAATCTTAGGGTCACTAGGTATTCTGTTATCATATTTTTGGTGCTATGCACTATCAATAACACCCAATAGTTCAATACCTTTGATTTTAGGAGTTATGGCCATTGCCAAAGCGCATCATTATAATGCTTCACTCAAATGTCAAAAACTAAGGCATGTGTTACATGAGTATTAATGTGACATTTTAGACATGTGAAGTCCTATCGGGACGAGTATGGGCGGAAATAGTTGTTTTGGAATCAAGACGGAGAGTGGGGTGCATAAGATTCGATATAATCGACTAAGTTTATGGAAGGTCTGTCTTCCAGCCTAATTTCATGAAAATCTGTTAGGAATTTGAGAAAACTTAAAGCATGAAAGTTGTAGCCCTTTCAAATACATTTCCAGTGATATATTATGGAGCCAAAACGGATCTCTGTGCAAAAAGTTATGCGCGTTTTACCGGACAATTTGCAGTCTGCGCGATCAGCTCTCACGTGCGTGGCAGCGTACTCAAGGCAGTGTCACTGCCCTTGCTGCACGGTCAGATGCGCGGTTGGGCCTTCAGCTGCATGAACGCGCACCTGAAAAGTCGTTTTAAAGCTCTACCTCGTTCCCTACACCCCAAACACGTAAATTTGCTCTAGAAAGGGAAGCTCTCAAGAACCCAACTTCCTCCAAGGTCCCTACATCGTCCAAGGTAAGTTTTAATGATGATTCTAAGTTAATTTCATTCTTTTAGTTGCTATGCACTATGAATAACAGATTTATAGCTACTAGATCGACTTTATTTCTTCTTAGTGTTCTTTTATTCAATAGAAGCAAATATATTTCAAAAAGAAAAAGGAAGAAAAAGACGAAATGAGAAAAGTAAAAAGAAAGGAAAATCAGATTTTACCAGTTGATATATTTAATAACCACAGCCTTAAAACATTGAACGTCCAAAATATCATTTCAATGATAAACGCAAGACATGCTCCAACAATCAGTAGATCCAGCGACCGATTGGCTCGAAACTGAAGAACCCGCCTCGCAGAATTTTCAAAACCGCAACCGCTTTGATTTTTCAAACAAATGTTTGAACCCACCCCGTAGGGCACTGCCCTGCATTAACCCCCCCCCCCCCCCCCAAAAACCCGCCGCCGCACCCCACATGCTTAAACCCGCACCGCCCCATTGCCATTCCTAGTCCTATTGCACATAAAATTGCCTATATCTACCAAACTGAGTGAAAAACCAATATGATGAGCTCAGAGTCTCATCCAAGCTTGATGATGGGAGCAAGAATTTAATTCATCTATGCAGGATCCATCTAAAGTAAGTCTTTGATCCTATCCACCAATAGCATTTCTCATGTCACATAGGGCCTTGCTCCTTTTTCTCCATTTTTCTTCTATAGCAAATCTTTTTAATTTAATTTAAAACTCAAAACCTAACAATCAACAATGGATGGAAACACCAAACAAAAAGGCATAACTGACGCCGTCTATCTTATTGGGCTGAGGGAGATTTCAGTAGAAAGAGCAGATCATGAAATGCCTCGTCTTACACACCAACAAACATGCTAAAAGTGTACAAAAGCTTGCACGAGGCACAGAAAAAATAAAATAAAAAATACACAGCCCTAGGGCAACATCCAACCAAATAAAGTTTGGAAGGATAAACTCTTTATCTATAGCGGATTATGGTTAATTTAAAACAACTCTTTACTTTCCGCCATTAATCAACCAAGAGATGAAGAGAATATAGACATCTAACAACATTGAATATCGAATTCATGTGCACAGGGACCAATTACATCGAAACTAGATTATTATCTATCCCCTAGCTAAAGACCTGGGAAATTTTAGAGACTAGATCACATCCGTCCTATATTATTTGTTTCCTACCACGATCTTTTTCACCAACTCGTGTGCCCTGAAGTATTTGGAAAGAAAGAAAGGTGTACCTTGTAGTAGCTATATTCTGTCCGATCACCTACTTTGTAGGAAAGAGGATTATCACTACAAAATGCTAGTTTAGCAGTGGATAGATACAGAACTCCCATGACTGGACCAGCAGAAGTAGATAAGTAGCATGCATATGACTTCAAAAGCTTTTCCTCGGGGACAGTCTCAAATGTTTGTTGGAACACTTTCTCATAACCGCCCTCAGCCAAGACCTTTGTACCTTGAGCAATTCTTCCCATAGCGGCATCAGCCAAACTGGGGCTTGTTTTCACTGATTCAGATGAAGCAATGAGAACATCATCAGAAAATTGTACAATTAAGAGTGGAATATGATGAATCTTTCGACAGAGCATAAAATACAGAAATAAAAGAACAGCAGTATGTTGGCAGAGAATCACACTCATTTTAAACACATGACATGGCTATAAAGGGATACTTCTGTAACACCAGAGCCTCCTTAGTGCTGTTTTTTCTTGTCATTCTATAATATATTTTGTTTACTAATCAGAAAAGGAAAAAAAAAACATAACATGGCAACAGAAAGATAAACATAAAACAATGTGACATACAGTGTTGCCACATATTTCCGGCAAGATCCTCAGCCTTCTTAGTCGCCTCTGCAGCCTTCTTTCCCCACTTTCCAAGAACATCCTTAACTGAATCCATTTTATCTGCAAATTGAAAATTAAGAGGCTCATAATCCAAGCATAAAGAATACCTCAAAGCAAGCAGAGAGTAATAAATATGCATAAAAACAACACCCCAGTCTATTAATTGGCATTAGTTTAGAGGGGGATGTACATAAATGCACCAACTGTTGGAACAACTAGTGGTGGCAAATGGGCGGGATGGGTTAAACTTGGGCGATTAAAAATGGGTCAAGCAAAAATCGATAATCACCCAACCCGCCCATATTTCATACAGGTGAAAATGGGTTGGTTGATTAATGGGCTGAGTTAAAAATGGGGTGACCCATTTTATATCTATGTCTGAAACCATCCTTTTGACTCCGCTCTCTCTGCTCTGTTTTTGCTTCAACGTCTCTCTTCTGTGTTCGTTGTTCACAGTTTCTTAGAAGATAATCAAACTGTATCACCTCTCGTTATCCATAAGAAAGGTTCCGGCTATAGTAGAAAGCATGTAATTAAGGCCCTTTCACTTGCTTGAACTTTTCGGAAAGCACTAAGTAAAATGGCAAGACAATTAGTTCTTTTAAGCAACTTACCTATAATTATTTATTGCTGAGAATTTCGTGATTCTTGGCTAAGAATGCACACTATTTTTTTCCAGTATTTTTATGGGTAAACGGTTTAATTACTCTACTTTTGGATTTCATTTACGGAAATTCTTAGCTTTTTTCCGAGGAATGTAGAAAATACCTAGTTTAATTATGTTGAAAGCAGTGTTTTTGAGAGCGCGAAGCGCAAAAAAGCGACAGGGACTCGCCTCGCTTCAAAAGCGAAGAGCAAAGCGAAGCGCACGCTTCATTGAAGTGAAGCGCAATTCTTAAAAAACGTAATGTAAATTGAAATATAACATATATATATAATAATTAATTTTATAAACTAAAATACACATTAAAAAATCAAATAAACTATATATATAATAATTAATTTTCTAAATTGAAATACATATAAAATTAATCAAATAAACTGAAAATATAACATATATAAATAATTAATTTTATAAACTGAAATACACATTAAAAAATCAAATAAACTGACAAATATAACACATATATATAATAAGTAATTTTATAAACTTAAATACATATTAAAATTAAGAAGAATAAAAGGGGGAAAAAAAGAAAACTAGCGCCTGCCCTAGCTGTGCAGACGTTGGACGAGAAAAGGTGAAAAAGAGAAGAGGAGAAGAAGAAGAAGAAGGAAAAAGAAAAAAAAATAGTAGAACGCTGGACGGGAACAAGAAAGAAAAAAATGAGAAGAAGAAAGGAGAAGAAGAAAAATTACCTGGACTGGACGGAGGAAGTTAAAACCCTAACAGCAGCAATGTCGATCGAAGAAGAGAGAAATGGTCAATTTTGGTCTTAGGGGTCTGTTTTGTATAATAAAAAACAGACCCAAACTTTTTTTTTATTTAAAAACGGCCCCTCTTAACAGAAGCGAACGCTTCACGTCGCTTCTTCAACTGAAGAAGAGTTGAAGAAGCGCGCTTACCTAGTCAAGTCGCCTCAGGCTGGGAAAAGCGAGCAGCCATCGCTTCGCGCTTAAAGCAACGAAGCGATCGCTTTTTAAAACACTAGTTGAAAGCCATGCAAAGTTAATTTTTCTATTATTATTTTCATCAAAAAAAGAATTTGAATCATCAATCATCAATTTTATCCATATGTAGAAAGTCAGCAAAGATAAATTTTTTTCTATTATTATTTTTCAACAAAAAAAGAAATTTCAATCAAGAATCATCAATTTTATCTATATTTGGACGAACGAATATCAAATGATAAAGACTTGAATTCATTATTTGTTTGCATGCCAGTGTTTAACAACAAGTGGATAATATTTATCACAATTTGGATTCCAGCAGAAGTTTACTTAGATCTTTCCACCTGCATCTTTTTAAGCTCATTATATTTCCTTTGAAGTGCAAAAAGCCGAAAACCATAACAAATTTAAAACCGCATGGAACCCGTATTCAACCCGCTTTTGACTCATTTTATTGCGGGTTGAAAATGGGTTAACACATATTTACCCATATTTAAAATGGGCGGGTTGAAAACAGGTTTAGTACAGGTGGTGAGTTGGGCGGGTCAACCAAAGATTGGTTGAAATTGCCACCACTAGGCACAACCATTGTATTGGCTTCATATATATATATATATATATATATATATATATATATATGTGTGTGTGTGTGTGTGCGCGTGTGTGTGCAAGAAATGCCTCAACTATGAAAATAGAGCAAATTTGCCCTTATGTTGAGTTTGGTTCCAAACATACCCTCATCGTTAGCAGATTGGTTCAGAGTACATCTCAACTACAGAAACAGAACAAATTTGCCCTTTGTTTGAATTTGGTCTTAATTATGCCTTTACCATGAGTGGACTAGCTTATATTTGCCCCAAAAAAATAAAGGAATTCATTTTTCTTCGATCAACACTTCTATTTAAGGGTAAAAAGTTAACTTTTATTTCTAGAACAACGAGAAGAAGAACAAAAAAGGAGAATAAAAGAAAAAGAAAAAGAACACGTAGATATTTTTCAAAAAAATACATCAAAAGCAGAGATTCACAAAACATTCCGTTTTGCTCAAAAGATAACCAATAAGTCTTCTCTCTTTTAGTTTGTCTTTGTGAAGATCAATACTCTCATGTCCACTCAATTGCAAGCTCAAAAGAAATAAAAATAGTATTTTATGGAATTAGTTCTTTCTGCATGACAGCAATCACAATTTCTTCAGCAAAATCAACTTGTTGTTAAGTGTACATAATAACTCCCTGCAATTTCTCCAAATACTTTTAATTTTTTTCACTGATTTAAGAATTTCAATTCATATTTGCGTACTTGAAGATTATTTATTTTCCCACGAAAAATAATTGATCTTCTAGAATTGTCGTTCTATACTTAATCGTTGTTAAAATTGAGGAGAGTAAATAAATAGGTAAAAGACATGAATATGAGGAGCAATTAGATATTTTCGTCTCTTTTAACCATTTTAAGCCTGTGTAATTTTTCGAGTTGAAAATTTTTTCAAGAGATTTTTAGGGCTAAAATTATTGTGTCGCAAGGTGACACTCCATCTTAATAATAAAATATGTTTTAGATGGATAAAAATAAGTAGGAAGTCTGTTAGTTTTTTAGGGGCAAGAAGAGCCAATTTACTCATGATAAGGACATATTTGGTACTAAAGTCAAACGGAGTGTAAACTTGTTGTATTTCTCATAGTTGATGGGCAAATCTGAACCAATCCACTAATGACTAGGGGTTTGGTACTTCGGCGCGGTACTTAAGAACTACGGTTCGGTATTTCGGTATTCAGTATATCAATCATGCATACCAAATACCGTACCAAAGCTGTACAGTACGGTTCGGTATTTCTTGCTTGGTTCGGTATGGTTTCGGTACGGTTTCGGTACTAACCAAGCTAATATGAGACGATAGTGGGGAACCGGTTGAGTTCATGTCGCTTAACTCTTGGAAGCATGATAAAATTGTTGCAATCGAATTTCTAGATTAGTCCTGCAATACATCGCCAGAATATGTTTATAGTGGTTCCAGTGAGGAAGAGTCATCAATCATATGCTTATATTCTCTACTTTAAAATGGAAAGAGGCCATAGGAAAATTACTTCCTTCGTTTACATGTGGAAAGAATATCTATTGCATTCGAGAAGGTTAGCATCTAAGGCAATTGTTTCAAGAACATATGAATGTTGCACTGCGAAATCTGAAAAAAACTGACTAAAGAAATTATTGCTCCAACGATAAAAGAGAAGGCAACGGAATAAAGACTTATTGAGGTTGAAGTCTATAACACATGTAATGATGCATAAAAACAATTTCAACAATTAACAAATAGAACCGCCATCACCACCTCAACTAGAGTAGCCTAATACACCAATTGTTGCAAATTTTTTTAGATAAATCTAGGGTTAGAAAATAGAAATAAGGGAAAGGGGATAAGCAGAAGCCATTGTCGTAACTCTAAGTCTCTAAGCCTTTAAGCCTAAGGGACTAAGGGAATTAGCGAACTAGGGGGCTTGGGGTGTTGGACTTAGGCTTATTGGGCTGGAAAATAGAAATAGAGGTGGGCTTAGAATTAAATATTTCGGTATATATCAAAAACTCAATACCGAGTACCGTATCAAAATACAGAAATACGAAAAAATCTGTACCGAATAATACTGAAATACTGAAAAACCCGATATTGTAATACCAAAATATTTCGGTCAGGTTCGAAATTCGGTTTTTCGGATTTTATACCCACCCCTACTAATAACAAGGGCATGTTTGAGACCAAATTCAAAATAAGGACAAATTTGCTCTATTTTTCATAGTTAAGGTGCATTTTTTTCACATAAATACTGAGGACATGACCCTAAGTAGGAAGGTGTGGAGATTGAGAATTAAGGCAGAAGGCTAGGTAGCCGAACTTTGTCCTTGCTTGTTCCAGTAGTTTTAATGCATTCCTCAATGTTAGTCTTCTATTTTCTTATTATTAGATTTTTATTATTACTTATTGTTTCTTTCACTTCGGTTTTCAATTTGATTTGCTGGTGTTGTTGCTTGCTGTTACACCTTCCTCTCTATCTTTCCTGAGTTGGGGATCTTCCGCAAACAACCTCCCTGCCTTCTTAAGGTAGGGGTAAGGTCCGCGTACACTCTCTACCCTCACCAGACACCACTAGTGGGATTACACTAGGTTTTTTGTTGTTGTTGTTGTTGCTCAAAACTTATATACGTAGAACTCTCAATGCACACACACAAAGACACACATATGTATGTGTGCATAAGTGTGCGCATGTATTATCTGTATGTACACACATATAAAAACTGAGTTTACACCCATTTTTGTTACAAAGACAGAGGCAGTAGTACTCTTGAGTCAGTTCACTTGAAATCCTCAATCAACCAATGCATACTCCATAAATTTCTTTCACAAGATGTTGCCTTTTTCCCCTTAAGCCTAACTCTCATTTAACATCAGTAATCTGATCCTTTTACACTTGCAAAGTACTATCCCCTTTGTTGTCAGGGGTTTCATGAATTTGTCCAATTAAAAAATGCCTCGCAAGGCAAAGAGATTCTCTATTTACTATTAATAGCCCCTCATTTTGGAACACTATTGGGCTCCGTCTCAATTGGGACACATGTTTCTAGTTCACACAACAAAACCATCCCGAAAAAAAAAAAAACAATAACCATGTAACTAATATTGACTCAGTAAGAGGAAAATAGAAAAAACAATAATTGGAACGGGTAAAAAGAAGGCACATACTCTTGACAGAAGAACCAAGGGGTTGAGCAGGCTCGGGAGTAACATAGGGATTAGACTCAACAGGCATAGTAGTCGCAACGCTGCTTGAGATAGGCGCAGGTCCTTCCGATGCAGAAGGTGACCTTGGTTGTTGTTGAGGCTGTGGTTGTGGCGGCTGCTGAGATGGAGGATTCGATCCAACAGGAACCGAAGTCCACGTCTCAGATACAGGAGCGACGTCGTTTGGATCAAGCTTTGGGTACGGAGCGTACTCGGAAGAATGGGGATGATCTGACGGATGATTAGGATAAGGGTTAGGGTTTGGGCTGGGGTTGGGGTTGGGGTTGGGGTTAGGGTTCATGGTGGAAACTTCAAATGGAGGAAGTACTGGACCGAGGTGCGTGAAGATTGAAGCTGAGATGGAGAAGGCTCTATTGAATTTTGAGAATTTTGGGGGAATCGTGATGACGATTGGCGTGTACGCGGAGGATGACAATTTGTTCAAATCGTCGACCGCTCGGAGAATATTTTGTAATATCTTAATATTGATTTGGCTTAACCTTATAATAATTTTTTTTGTCCTAAAATTGCTATGTGACTTTTTATTATGATGTCACTTGATTTAATATGATATTGTAAGCATTTAAATTTTATTAGATTTAAATGGGAGAAATTCAAAAATAGCCAGATTTACAAGTGGTCATTCAAAAATAGTCACGCTTTCAAAAGTAATCGAAATTTAGCCAATTTTCATGTAAAGATAAATCTGAGCAAAAACACTGTTCAAAACCCAGAAAATACGCCAGTATATTATGCTGGAGTTCCAGCATAAATATACTTGAACTCGAGCATATTAACTGGAGTTCCAGGATAAGTATACTGGAACTCCAGCATAATATGATGGAGTTCCAACATAAGTACACTAGAACTCCAGCATAATATACTGGAGTTCCAACAAAGTATACCGGTCCAGTATAATATGCTGGAAGTTCGTACACAAGTGCTCGAAACAGGAGTATAAAAAGGGAGTTTTCCCAATTAAAGGACAATCGAAACAGGATTCATTTATATTAAGAAATTCAAAGTCGCCACTTGGGAGATTTATGGTGTCCCAAGTCACCGGTTCGAATCCCGAATCGAGGAAAAGATTGACTCTGTTTAACAGTCTGCGAACCAAAAATCCAGGTAAGGAATTCTGTTAACCCGGGAGAAGGTGTTAGGCATTTTCCGAGTTCCGTGGTTCTAGCACGGTCGCTTAACTGTTATATTCAGCTTAATTATCTGATTTTAAACAACTATGAACCTATGTGCAAATTTTAGTTTTAACCGCTTTTATTCATTTTTTAGAGAAAATTGCAACGTTATTAAAACATGTCTCGAACCACGTCACATAAATGCACCCGCAGTTTTTGACATATTTTAACATCGTTGAGATTTGGATTTGGGTCACATAAATGTGCACCCGAGTTTAGGAAAGTAGATTATTAAAATACGCGCCTAAAGCAACTAACGCGTTCGTAACTATGCGAGGGCCATGAAAATTCGCTAAATGACATACCTCGAATTCTAAGGATTTTAAAGATATAATTAACGAAGGCCATTTATTAGGTTTTTATGGCACGCCTCGTCGAGGATTCATCAATAAACTATGGCTTAAAAGAATTACACCACCCTAGAACTTTGGCTGAACTACAACACAGATCCGGATTAAAACAAAGCAATGGCTAGTCTGCCTTTTTTTATTTTCAGAATTCAGGTCCGGCCTAAAGTGAAGCCCAATGGCCCAAAGGACACCACAAAGTGACGGGTCTCATAACTGACCCTATTTGGACTCAAACGGAAGCCCAAATTTTCAGGAGGCCTTGCTCAAGCTGGACCTCAAAGAGGTCACGCCTTCAATCCTAGGCAACAGCAGAACGCAGCTCAAACATAATGACAAAAGCCTCCTGTTTAACCAAAAAAATAGGATTTTAGTCAAAGCTAGAAATTAGAAGAATCGGGTTACTGATAATCGAAAAAGTAATTAAAGACAGAAATTTTAGAATAGCCAAGTATGAAAACTGGTAAATCAAAGTATATTCCAATAGACCCCCCTTACAATTGTATGTTTCTTCCCTTTTTATAATTCTTTTGGGATACGAGCCTTACCTTTGTCATAATAATGCTATTATGGGCAATTAATGACTTTAAATATTACGTTATGCAATCATATACATTAAATACATATTCTCTAACGTTTCCAATAATTAGTACCCATTAAATGCTGCATCTGGGCTCCTTTTTGTTGTCAGATTCATTCCTTTGATTCTTCACTATCTTTGAGTTTTTAAGTGTCTTGAATAGGTACGAGCGTTTAAATTACTTGTATGACTGCTCGCATCCCCTTCATTTAATTTTCTCGTATCTGTTGTTGCTCGTATCTGTTGTTGCTCGTATCTGTTAACCAATCTTATTTCTTTGACTGTTTGACCAGTCTATATGACACGTCATCACATACATAAATATAATTTTCCCCAATACAGATAGTCCCCCCACTTTCCATTTATTCATCAGTTTGAATATTTGGGAAGTGGAATTCATTAAGGGAGAATTGTTGTCACCATTAATGCTCTGACAGAGTTTGACGCTTCACTTATTACTTTCATTTAATGTGCTGGACACGTGTCATCCTCTTATTGGTCATACAATTGTGCAACACTTTCTTAGGCTTTCTTTTCGGCTTCTCTGTCCACGAAATGTCATTTATCATTATTATGGACTTCCCATCACTATACTTTTTCCTTTTGTCGGTCATTCGCTAGTATAAATATAACTTCTATCTTTGTCTTCTACCATTTAAAGTGTATTGAACACTTTAATTTTTCAAAACTTTTATTCACTTCTTCTTTGTCATGGATTCTCCGAACCCTAACCCTAGAAGAACTCCTATTTTAGACAGCTTTCCCAATGCTCCCGTTAGGCACAGAAGAGGTGGTGGTGGTAGACTCCGTAGTTTAGGATCTGTTCGTGGTGGTAGTTCATTCTCACCTTCTTCTAGTTCTGGCCCTTCTTCTAGAACTGGAGGTTCTCATTCTCAAAGGTTTTCTTCCAGAAACAAAGAATCCTCTAAACCCTTACGCGAACCCTTAGTGGAAGAAATAGTTCCAACGGACTTATCCTTTTACCGTGACAGGGAAGCTCTCAAAACTCAGGTTGCCTCTTTAAATCGAGTTGATACTTATCCTTCTCAAATTACTGACCCTTTAATCTCCATAGTTCGTAGAGATTGTCATTGGAGTGATGATTTCCCTATCATCATTCCTAATCCAAATCAGAGAATCTCCTCCTATATTGCTGGATTTTCTTTTGTTTATACGTATCCCTTTATCTTAGGGTTTAAACCAACCATTGATCCAATTATTCTGGATTTTTGTCGCTTTTTTAATGTTAGCTTGGGTCAAATTGGCCCAATCGTTTGGAGGGTTGTCGCCTGCTTAAGGCACCTCACTAACTTGGCGGATGCCGAATTTACTTTTCCCCACCTAATTCATCTCTACTCCCCTAGGCTTTTTCGCAGCGGTGTTTTTACCCTAGCAGCCAGGAGCAAGAGGGTTTTAGTGAGCCCCGAGGACGATAAAGACTGTGGCTGGTATGCCCGGTTTGTTGCTGCCCCCACTGCTGGTTTAGTGGGTGAAAATAACGTTCCCTTCCCCGAGAAGTGGAACTTTGCACGTAAGTGTTAAATCTTCCTCGTGCCTTTCCCTTTCAGGTTTTATCACCTTTTCTAATGTCGCTTCTTTTTCCTTTCTCAGCAACCATGGGCGTTGTGAAAACCGTGCCCAACTTCCGTGGTTGGGTAGGAAAATTATTGAAGGTCGCTCCAATGGAGGGTAGGTCGTGGAAAAACCTTTCCAGCCGTTATGGTTGGAAAGTAAAAACTCATGGTAAGGGTTTCTATTTTACTTTGTCTGTATCTAAATATCTTCTTTGTTCTAATTTTTATCCTTCTTTTTATCAGGATTTGCCATTCGTGGGGTCACCGCAGAATCAATCATAGCTGCTCGTGACTCTTTGAGTACTCGTACCTCTTCAGCCCAAGATGTATTCTTGGGTTCTTCAAAAAGAAAAACTACTGAAACTGAAGAAGAAGATTCAGAGGAGGAAGATGAAGGTTCCCTGGTGATGAGACCTCGAGCCCGGAGACGTATCGTCTCTGAGGATGAGGCTGAAGTTTCCCCTCATCTATCTCCCTCCAATTCTGTTATTACTCCAGTTATCATTCCTGATGATGACGTCTCTCCTCACGACACTCGCGAGTCTATCGATCAACTTTTTGCTAGTGGTTTTGGTAGTGAACACTTAGGACCTATTCTAGATGAAATTCCCTTATCTTCTTCTTCATCTCCCGTACCTATGATTGCTCCTTTACCTTCATCAATTGTTGCTTCTGTTCCTCCTTCTATCGCTCCTCCTTTGTCTGTTCCTCCATCTATTGTTCACCATACGGAGGTGGGCTCTTCAAGCACGAGTACTACTATGAGGAGCGTAACCATTGAAGTTCCTGCTAACAACAGTCTCTTGAGAAAGTCTGGTCAGGCTGATATTTGGCTTGAGCCTTTGATTGGCCCTATTGAAAAAACAAAACTTGAAAGCCACAACAACCTGACCCTCATAAATGACATAGTGCATGCCACTTTAAAGGTATTCTTCTTTCCTACTTCTCATCATTCTGTAAAAACTTTCGACTCTGGGATTTTTACTTCTCTTTTATTTGTAGGCCAATCTTATTGGCACTGAGCTGATGAGAAGAATCTCCCTCCTGGAGAAGGTAGCACGTGATTCTCAGTTAGAGGCAAACAACTGGAAGGAACAGTTTGGCAGTGTTCAACTCGACATGGAGGATTTACAAGAGAACAAGAGTGCTTTAGAACAACAGGTTCGAGCACTCACTTCCGAGTTGGGGGTTATCAAAGCTTCGTTGAATCAGGGGGAGAAGGAAAGAGAACGTCTTGAGTCTTCATTTTCTTAACAGTTATCCTGGGCCAGTGAAGAAATCAGGACGTTGAAGGATCTTTTGAACCAAAAAGAAATTTATGCCAGGGAGTTAGTTTAGAATTTGACTAAGGCACAGGAGGATCTTCGTGCCTCTGTGGATAATGTGCAAGCTTTGGAGAATTCTCATGCCACCCTTCAATCTTCTTATAATTCTGTATTAGCCGAGAATGAAGGACTTAAGAATGAGGTCGCTGCTTGGGAAAGGGATTATGAAATCCTTGAGGAAAAAACTGATATTGAGGTGAGCTGGGCCTTCCTAAATTCTCGCCGTGACAGCCTACTAGAAATGGGTCAAGAGAACTTCAACCTTGAATCAGAATTAGCCAAGGTGAATGAAACCATCGCACGAACTCAACAAACACAAGATTTTTCATCTCCCGAGGTTGAAGTTCCCGTAGTTGAAACTCCCGTTGTTGAAGCCTCTGTGAATGCTGAAATTGCTTCGGATGTTGTACCTCCTTCAAGCTCAACTGTGCCCCTTGCTGCAAGCC